GAACTAGTACTGGACAGATTTGGAGACTACACTGAGGCTGGCTGGTGTGAAAGTCAGAGCAAATCCTGTATTACGTTACACAAGCGAGAAGTGAAGTTAACAATAACCTCAGACAGAGCAATAAAATTGAAAGATGGGCCCAGATTCTGCCATAGTGATGTCCTAATGTTAGTACTCAACAGTGAAAGCAACCTCACTAATGTCACAGGGAATATCTCTGGAGAGAAGCAATCCTCAAAATGAATACTGTCACAATCCATCCTTCTGTACATACATTTCCACTTCAATGTCTCAAGCGAAGAAAGCCAACCTCAGGTCAAGAATCCTGGCAGATAAATGTCTTTCTGGTTGATAGATTAGAGTATATATTTATCGCTTACAGCAATTCTCTTGCTATTTATATGGTTTGGGGTTAACAAAACCACTAGGTAAGCTGCACAAGGAAGCTTCTTTTTGTGTGAAAATGAGGTTGGAAGTGGAAAGAACACTCAAAAGATGCTAAAAAAAATATTAGAAATGCTTGAAATGAGCACACCTGAGGAAAACAATACTTCTCTAATTATCTATTCCATTAAAATTGGCTGAGCAGAATATAGCTTTACATACTGATGTAACTAGCAAATTTAGGCTTTCAAGTATTTCAGAAACACAACTGCAACAGGGCTCACAAATAAATCTCCTTTGGGGCTCTGTGAATGCAAGGATGACCTAAATAAAGGGAATATGATGGATCATTAGAGGGTGCTCATATTGAGAAGTGCTAGATTTGTCATGAATTGAAGTAATGCTTGCTGGAATTTCTCAGCTTTATGTAGCAAATTCCAGTTCAATGTCCTGTGATGAAGACCATATTACCTTCTTTCAAGCCATCTCCTGTTTTCCAAAATTGTCTGGAGTGTATTTTAACCCACTTTGAAAGTAAATTACCCGAGCTGATCCAGAAATCTGCTAAAAGTCTAAAGCTGGGTTCCTAAGATAGAAGAATTAAAGCTGGTACAGTATAACAAGAGCTGTTTCCAAAAACTGAGCTGCTAACAAAACCACTTCAGTTTTGAAGTTGCTTTGCCAATATTGAGGCAACTTGTAAACGTATTCACAGAGAACTTGTGCTCTGGATTACAGGGTATTTCTTCCTTCACCAAAACCACATATTACGAAACCTGTAGAGATTTTTCTTTGCATGTTATGCTTGGAAAAGTTTAATGAGACTGGATTTGTTTAGATTCAAATACATTACCAAAATTTGCAACTTGTAACTTTGTGCTGATATATGAAAAATAAGAACTAAAATTGGATCTAAACAGAACTTCCTAAACTTTCTCTCCGAACTAAATATATCAAAGGCATAGTATGAACATGGAAGATAAATCTACCTTTCAGATTTATCACTTAGATGAGAAAAATAACATTTTACACGATTTTGGTCTTGATTGTCTCTCCACAGCTGTAAAGAGAGGGGATTTTCCCCCCCATTCTACATGAAAGGGAGGAAAAACATGCTGTTGATTATTTTCCTGGCATATTTTGAATAAAATAATACAGGCTTCATTATGGCATGAGACTAATTACACAAATTATATCTGAAAGAAAAAAGTTAAATTAAGAACTGAATGGCTACTGCATAATCAGTGGGCATGAGTGAGATCTAATGTCATTGTGTTTAGAAATGGCTTCATCCAGATCCAGCTGTCTGTTGTTGACCTTCACCTCCATGCAGCCGTTATAAAAAGCGGTTACTAACGTAGCACCCAGAGGAACATCTGCACAGAAACACATTCAACTTATTAGGCCAAGGCACGCAAATTCTTATGTATTTTTCAGATTAGCAAAAACAAGGGGAATACTCCATTCCCTATCCATTAGTCAGCCATGGGAAAAAAGAGCAATTTGGCAGGAAACACATTCTTCTCCCTTTTAAGATTGAGATAAAGTCAGCAAAGCTGAGAAAAGTCAGTAAAATTTGAAAAATGCGTTAGAAGTCTATTCCCATCCAGAAACCTAACTATATGAATGTTTTTCATAGTACAATCTTCTGTATTAAAAACAGTGGTGAACCAATAGTCTGTTTCCTGAAGTCCGCTGTTCTTGTTCTGACCTACAAATAGATGTTTATGGGCTGGCGGTCACAGAAAGAACCATCTTGCTTTGCCAGAAAGCTACTTTAGATTCAAATACGCAAGTTCTCAGATAGGGAACCCCTGGGAACTCCACACATTTTACTGCTTCCTTACTGATTCTTTGAAGTGAATTCTCTGTAAAAGGTTCACTTTATCTGTCGCTCATTTAGGGATTGTTTGGGTTACAGCAACATCAGGGATACGCTTCTAGGAAACAACACGTTAAGCACAAAATCAAGTAGGCATCGCTCTAAGGTCTTCCTTGTAATTTTATTTTGCTGTAAGCTGAAGTACTGTACAAACAGTCCTGCAGAATCATGCCCTTCTGCTCTTTTTACTCCAGTGATGATAACACTGTTGTCATAGAACTGTGCAAGTCTAAATTACACTGCACTGGTTGTGCTGAATTAATTAACAAAGTTGAGGCATACTCCCAATGCTGTTACTAGTTTGAAGAAACATATCAAAAATCAGGACTTCTGGTGTTCATGAAATGTTTTTGTTAGATGCCTTTTAACCATACAGTTCTGTGCACTGTAACTCAGTGTGGGGATCCCTACCTAGCTTTTTATACTGCTTGGTAATCCCAGAGGCTTTTCAGGGGTGAGTAGAGTGAGTAAATGAATCGGTGTGAGCCAAACTGGCTGTATACAGGGACCTAAAGTAGCTTTCCATATTACTTTTTCTCTCTTTGGTAACAGAGACTGTTGTGGAAGAAGCTCCTTTGGACAATGTGGGCTTTTTTTGTTGCTTTTTAGAGACCTCTAAGTAGAAACTATGCATAAAGAGGTTTTTTTGTTAATTTGTGTGTTGAAGACAGGTTCTAAAATGGAGAGATTACACTTTTAAGGAGCAGCAAGTAACTAATACTTGCTTCTTATCTATCTGGGATTAATGACTGAAGCCGAGGTCTTAGTTCTTAAGATGCCAACTACCCTGTGGCTGGCAAGGTACTAGAAAGAATCATTTAAATATCACAGATTAATAAGTCTAAAAAATGACTGGAATCTTAGTTGAGTTACTTAGTTGAGTTAGTCAGTTAACCTCTGACTCACCTCTACTAAGTAAATACTGACTTCATCTCTCTTTTAAAAGTGAGCAGGTATTACAAGAACACTGACGCTTACCTGTTGTGGTATGTGATGGTACTGCATCATTAGTGCATTCTTCTCATCCTATACATTCAATTTGAACTGAACTCACCTGGTTATCTGGTTTCCAAGATACTGCATATCCATTCAAAAACAAAATTGGAGGAGAAACTTCATGTTTGGTGCCTAAATCTTGTTACATCCTTTATTACCGCTGTATGAAGACTTGCAGAGACCAAGTTCCAACATATGGGCCCGAACACTGAGGCAACCATTGCTTCATACAGAGCCTGTGATACCTGCAGTGCTGCCCTGAATATCTTGTTCCTATTCTGACAAGCAAGTCTAGAAGGTGGAATCATAATTCCAATTTGCCCTGGGTAGGCTACCTTGGAAGAAATGTCTACAGAGATCATCTCCAATGGATACACAGTTTCTTCCCTCTTTCTACTCCTGTGCATCCTTGTTTCTTGCAGAAGAAACACACTGCAGATAAAGACCAGCTACATCTGTGGCAGTGCACTGCAACCTACATTGAAAATGGATGTCAGTTCAAGACTATGTTGGTCAAACTCTTACAATTTCCTTAGAAATTATGGCTTATTCTCCCTAAAACAACTTCAATAGAGGATACAGAAAAACTCTGCCAGTAGCAATGTTGTAACCATGGTGTCTTTCCTCTACTGATTTTTAAGTTTGAGGATCTCAGGCTTTGAAAATTTCTCATCTGTGGCAATGCTGTTTTTCTTCATGATTCACCCTGAAGTCAAACTATTTTACAGATAAGCATATGCACACTTCCTGTACAAAATAATTGTTGTACATATCTTAAGACCAGGGATACACTTGAAGTTTGCCTTAAACAAAATATTTGCTGTTTCAATTTCTGTCTCATAAAGGCTGCCTGTCATCTATTGCCCGTAGTTTAATTTCTGAATATTCCTGACTTCTGCACCTCTGACACTTAATTTACTTAAAAATGCCTGGTTTCCTTACATGCTTGATGCAGTTCTGAAATTGTGCCAGCTGGTGGCACTTCAGAAATATGCAATACCTACTCCTCGCCAGCTCAAAAATCAAGACATTTTCTAAATTCAAACTTCTAATAATGCTAGTGTTGAAAAGCAGGCTCCTTCAAAAGTTGAATAGACTGAATGAAACAAGAAGCATTTGGGGAAAAAACCTGTTTATTTTTGTACAGTTATGGGCTTTCTCTAGTTGGGTAAGGCTGAACATAATCAAGCTTGTACTAATAATCAAATTAATGAAAAGAAATATAACTCACCTGGCAGGCCGCCCAAGTAGGTAACAACATTTGCCATCATTGCTTGATGCAAGATAGACAGTTGCTCTGAATTGCTTCTCTCTGTGCGTGAATCAACAGACAGCTCAAGTTGCTGTTTGGTTACTAGAAGTCCAACCAGCACTTTTCTGGGTGTACATAATTTCTTTGATTCCAGTTGTGCAACAGTGATATTTCCAATGGTCACTATGATTTTCTAAATGGAAGGATGGTAGGTCACAAAAAATGTCACATGTAACTTTAACACATAATTATACTTAGTTCTGATGCATTTTTATATTTGGAAGTAGAAAAAAAGGAAATGTTAGAGCCACATTCTAAAAACTGGTACCTTAAGTTGGAAAAGTTACCAAAGTTGATGCATAACCATCACCTTTGGTTATGAATGCCATTCATTTATATTCTTGGATTTATAAGTGAGATTGTTCACTGTAAAAAATCTGGCTATGGTTCTGAGGTGAAATCCTGTTTCTCTTAAAGGCAAAAGGAGTACTGCTACAGCTTCAAAGGTAACTATAAGTGTTCACTATAGTTTCTTATTTCAGGCAAAAGCATGGATTAGCCATAGTGTATAATCATGCTCAATTTTGTGATACTTGATGTAAACAGATGTAAATGGAAACCTGAGGACAAAAAGATCTGTTTATAAATTGAAATTAACATGATGTCATTACTATAATGTAGTAATTCTGTCATATTTCCCTTTCTGCTTTGTGCATTTTGGAGAAGAGGTTAAAAAAGACATGATGTAATGGATAGTGCCTGACATAAGAGTGCTTAGCACTTAGTCGCTGTTGTGGCAATCCTTAATAATAACACATTTTCTGCACATCACTCTATGATCTAAGTGCTTTTCAAAATACTAATTCTGCCCGACAGCTCCACTGTAAGTAAGTGTGAGTAGCTCTTTTTAGTTTGATTTTTCACAAATGGAGTAGTAAGTTAAATGAGACAAAAACAAGAGGTGTGACTTAAATGCGTATCAGCTGTTATTATAATTGTAAGGTCACCTGTGAGTCAGAGGAGTTAGAGTCCACTATGGACAAAGCAAGAGGCACTGTTTCATTAGAAACCAGGGCAAACATAACACCAGTGTCTGTGGATGGGCGAATAGTCATAGTCACATTTACTAGCCAATCTTCATCACTGTCAAGATCATCTGTTTTAAAAAGAATAATTGACATTAATAAATCCATCCGCTAATGATAAATTAATATGGTGTTAAAAATTAGTATTTAATCTGCTCCCACTGTGTAAAAATTAGTACTAATCTCCTGAAAAAGAAGTGAACTTCAGAACTTTTAGGAAGAACTATAAGTCTATTAAAAAAAAAAAAAAAAGAAACTTTAATCCTGCATCTTCTGTGCTTATTGGACTTTTTTTTTTTTTTGCTACTGTCTCCATTCTAATGTGGAACAGGTGCTACATTCATTAGAGGTCAGTTCAAAATTAAACCCAAAAAGCTAATTTACTCATAAATTGCCACCACTGAGTAGAAGACTGGCAGTTCTCATACACTACTACATTCCAAAGCAGTTCAACTATTAAAATGGGAATATGCAGGTGTGTAAAGTGAATATATGTAGATGGTACAAATATAATTTCATATGATGCATTCATAGTGAAGAGAATACAAAAATTACTATTCAAAGAGGTATTTGTTATCTTTTTTTCCCCCACCCATCTTTTCTTCCCCATGGGGTTTTCCCCACCCCATGTTCCTAAAACATGAGGTGAGGTCATATTCCTACACAAAGCCAAATGGCAGCGAGAGAGTGGATTGTAATAGCTCAGAGAAGGGCAGAATTTGGTGTGGGCAGCCTCTCAGATTTGGGAGGTGCAGGGGGAGAAGAACAGGAAGGAGAGAGTGTGAAGTCATAGCAGCAGCCCCAAACACAAAGGTCAAGAGGAGTCATGGCAGCATGGTGTTAGTGAATGAAGGGGAGGAAAGTTGAAGAAACTTGAGCGGCACAGGAAACTCTGATATAAGTTGGTTGGAAGCACAGAATATAAAAAGCTGTAGAAATCTTCTGAAGTGGGATAGAGAATTTAAAGAAAAGGCCTGGGAAAGAATAGCAAGTCCTGGGATGAAAGGATTGGGGATCAGAGCAGGGCTGAAGGGTAGCATAGCATTTGGGATGGGGAAGAGTATAAGATTTGCTCAAGAGATGTCTCATTTTGGGCTCTCAGGTGTGCACCAGGAGATCCTGGATTGGAAATTTTGAAATTAGGGCAGAAGGTCAGGCAAGAAAGTTCTGGGTTTAGGAAGGAGCAAGAGATACACTTAAAACATCTAGACAGGCTGTTCATTTAGTAGCAGAATTGCATACACGAAACTATCAGCGAACCTTCTCTCTATCCTCCATCTTCTTTTTCCATCAGTAATACAATAGCTTTCCTCATTGATGAAAAGGGGACAGAATCTTCGGAAAGCGAATGTGTTCAGCAGTGCCCATCCTTTGCAAATAAAGAATACACTTCCCAACCTAAAGCACTTCAGAAATCAAATAGATGACACCAATGGGATCAGAATTCTCATTCAAGCAAATTTCTAAGAGAAGTTATGGGAATTATTGGTGGATGCAGTGGTGTATAGCTTACTTTGTGTGTGTGTCTTTCTATTTTCTTTTTTTTTTTTTAACAACTCATGAGGTCCATCACCTGTCCAGCAAAATATGTAGGAAAACACAGAAAAATACTTACTATAGTTTATCTGAAACTTTGCCATTCCAGTGCCAGGGTAGAAAGATCCTCTCTCCACTGCTACTAAACAGTGTTTGCTTTGTTTTTCTTGAATAACTTCTTTTACACCTGAATGTCCCTGATTCATCAGGTTCCAGGCACGAATGCACCCATCTAGCCGAGGGTTAATCTGTAGAAGAATTACAGCATTAAGTGTTTGCATTCAAAGTTGTTTTAAAAATGTTAATAATAAGGCATTACTTTACATATTGACTTATTTCTGGGTAGCCAATAATAGCCTTATCAATGCTACAGGTTACAGCACTGATGCTGGGAGAAAATAAATGTCATGCATTTAGTACCTCAGCCTTCAAAAGGTATTTCTGACTTAATAACATTTCCCCTTTTGATGCCAGTGATCTGTACAAAATAGATTGCTTCAATTTTTAAAGCTCATGCTGTCCTTTTGTTTAGGTCACAACAGCTTTTCTGTAGCTGAAAGACAATGACCAGTAGCACTGTTCCTTGTTCAGGGTTTCATCTTCTCCTTGTACCAAAGTACAGAGAAATTTCTGGAATTACTTTCTATTGCATAAGGGATGTTGTTGTCTTGCTTCATACTTTTTCTCTCTGCTTCACTTCTTAGCAAAAATGGATTTAAAAAAAAAAAAAGTTCATCCTGTACTGTAGAGTTACTTTTTGCCTTTCTGTTTAGACTGCCAATTAACTTGAGGGCTCCTGGTCTGAGAAGCAGAGAGTCACAACAACTTGACTGTACCCCTTCCCAGCATAAGACAGAGCTGTTCAGTATGGAAGACAGAAAGAACCTTGTCTAGCCTGGGCTATTATACAACCTATTAAAAATGAAGGTTCATTGTGCTGCCTGCACAGTGAATTCCATACCTATTCAGAGCCTAGCAAAAGCTAGCATCAGAAACATGAATCACTCCAAAATGCTCTCGCAGCAGAAGTGGTAGTGATTTAGGGAACCTTAAAGCTATATTAGGAAACAAGCTACAGAATCCTGAAAGATTAGACCATTAAGTGCTGTGGTTTTATAACTGAAATCTAACTGAAGACAAACTACAAAGGTTCATGCATGTTTATTTTCAAAACAGTGGTTTAATAACCTTTCATTTTCTAAATGGATTCCGTGCCACTCTTCTTTCCTCTGTGACTACTAAGTAAACAATACAAAAACAAATAACAGAACAGCATTAATCAACATTACTCTTATTATTTTAGTTACCTGTTTAACAAGAGTGTTGCCTACTTTGCGAGGTAATCCTGCAATGTACACCTTAGTTTCCAAGAAACCCTGTGATGGTTTAAAAAGAGTTCCTGGGCTGTTAATACTCATTACGGCTTCCTTAGCTATTTTTACACTGATGCTGTGTTCTAGTTCTTCAACTGATATCTAGAATTAAATACAAATAATTACACATATACACAAACGTAGAATATTTTAAATACTAATTACATATGCCTGTATGAAGCATTACTAACGTTTCCTAAATATCTAACTTGCAAAATATCTTAATGCAGTCAACATTTACAGCATATGTAAACTTGAATCATGGCAACTGTGTACATCCATGGACACCAACAGGACGATGATCTTCCACTTCACCCCCATCCTACCCCTGGGAAAAACCATGCAGGTATTTATTCTGCTTCAGGTGCTACAGAGTTTCCAAGAAGCTGATTTCTACAATTGCTCTATATGTAATCCACATTTGGCACACAGTTCATGTCACTGCAACCTGCTACAGAGGATTGAATCTTCAGATGGGACATAGACAAAATAGGTTCAATGCCTGCTCCCTCTATTATTAGGCATCGAAGTAGATTTTTAATCTCAGGGAAGTTGTACTGAACTGAAACAGGGGGGTCTATGCAGAAACCTAAATTTTCTTGCCCCCCTTAAAAACAAACAAACAAACAAAACCTAATTGATGTTAATAAGTTGGTGTGACTTCCAAATGATGTAAGTGAGCAAGGCCTTTCATCTTAAGTATGCAAGCTTGAAGAACAAGATTGATTTCTAATCCATGCAAAACTTGCTCTCTAGACAAGCTATCTAATAATAGCACTTGACCATGCAATCACACTTTAAAAAATTCTGCTGCTTCTTTTTTCATTGTTAAAAAGAATAATTCCTATGTTGCCAGCTAGTGGTAATTACTTATTTCTCAATTGTAAACAGGTGCCATGATTCCTAGATGTAGGGCATTCTTATGCATTTCTTGGTTGATTTTTAAATGTGGGATTTGATGGCATCATTTTAAGCCTTTTTAACAGTTGCTTAGTTTCTCCATATTTTGCTTATCAAGACAGAATGTTCCCATAGTGGCTTAAAGGAAGGAAAGGGGAGAAGAAAACTCAGCTTACTATATGCCACAGTCCATCATTAATGGCTTTGCCTCCACTGGTGACTTTTGTTCCAAATTCATTCTTGAACTGAACTTCAATCTTCCCATCACGAAGAGCTAGCAAGATCCATGCTGTATTGTCAAGGGATTCTGCATATAGTATAACTCCCTCTGCATCATATGTCCGGAAATCAAATTCAGCTGTAAATCTGAGTTGTGAAGAAGGAATCTTAATAAGAAGACAGGAAACATGAAATACTGTATAGCCTATGATAACTCACTAATAGGGTAAAAAAAAAATCATCTATATTAACCTTTTGGTAATTCTGTATCTCAGCAGCTGTGATATTTGCACACAATTGTCAAAAGCAGAATCTAATGTAAACCTTGCTCATCCAAATCCAGTGAAAAGTTTTGAGATTAACACCCTGAACTGGGATTTCAAAGAGCGTTGTTTCAGTTCCCAAATCTGCTATGAGCTTTACATGTCAAGGATATCACACCCCCTTGACTAAGAAGATAGATGCAGTATTCCTGTTGCACTTCACTGAGATGAGATGCGGAAAAAAAAGATGATCTGTGATGTGCTTCAGTAGAACACGGTTGCCAAGTGTTGTCCTACAACAATTATAACCTAACAATTTGCTTTGGTTACTGCTGCCTTTTCTGTGTCATTCTCTAACTTGAAGTTTTGTTGTCTGGATCTTGGCAGTTGGTTGAATGTGTATATGTAGCAAAATTATGGTTTACTTTAGAGTGGAAGAGAGAGAGTATAAGTATAGTGAAAAACAGCCCTTGTCTCCTAGAACTTTTGGACTAGATAAAACAGATTAAGGATGAAAGGAGAAAACAAAGCATTTGGAAGTTAGGATTTGCTGAAGACTAACAAAAGAAGTAAGTGAGCTGTAATGAAGAACTCGGGCCGCTTTCACCCTCAGTCTTGTACTTTGTCCACTAGATGTCATTGTCTCTCACACAGACTCACACAAAACTAATTCTATATTTACACAGAGGCTATTAAGATAGCTTCAAACATTTATCATCTTAGAAAGGTCTTCCAGGAGAGCATTAATGCCTGGTCAACTTGGAATTGTGTTTGAGGAAAAAGTTCTCAATATTTATGTTCTTCTGTAAGGTTCTGAAGCTCTGGGGACCACCAGCTCAATAACTCCTGCTGTTGTTACCTTCAAATTGTTTGGTCAGCAAGTCAAGGAACATTGCAATTTCATCTGCCGCAGCGAGAAACTCCAAGAGTAATAAACGGGTCACTACCACTAGCAATTGTTCTGACAGCTGTAAAGGAAATCATACAGACAGCCCTCTAGATGAGGTTCTGTGCGCTATCAGTGTCCTTGGAACACCCTGAGTAAGGAAGCACAGGGTGGGAGGAAAGCATTAGTCTGGTTATATTTCTCAGCAGTATGTGTGTAGCATGTCACAGCTTCTAACCAGAGTAGAAAGGAAACAGCAGCAACATCCAAATGAAAGCCTTTCCCATACATCACTAAAGCCATAATTTTCCTATAACATCTGAATTTTATGTTGAGAATTCTAAATGCCTTCCTACATTATTAAACTAAAGTTGCTGGGGGAGGGAAACCTCAGTCCATCCCACTCCTACTAGTTTGATGCCAGTGCCAGCAATAGATGCCCAGAGCCTGGAGAAGGATCACAGGTCACCAGGAAAGCACCTGCAGAGCAGCACAAAGGAATTTCAGACATTAAGTCAGCTTCATCCAGACCCAAGTAAGTGCCTCTGAAAAAAAAGAGGAGTTAGAGACACGTGTATGCCTGCAGGGCTATGATCTTACTGGCATCACAGAGACATGGTGGGATGGCTCCTATGACTGGAGCTTAGGAATGGAGGGATACGGGCTCTTTAGGAAGGAGAGGCAGGGAAGATGAGGAGGGTGCATCACCCTCTATGTCAATGACCAGCCGGACTATACCGAGCTCTGCCTGGGGATGGATGAGGAGCCAACTGAGAGCCTGTGTGTCAGGATTAAAGGGAGGGCAGAGACAGGTGACATTATAGTGGGGGTCTGCTACAGGCCACTGGACCAGGAAGACCGAGCAGACGAGATCCTCTCTAGACAGACAGGAGCACCCTTAAGCTCACAAGCCCTGGTCCTCATGGGGGACTTCAACCACCCTGATATCTATTGGAGGGACAACACAGCACAGTATAAGCAAGCCAGGAGGTTCCTGGAATGTGTTGACAATAACTTCCTTCTCCAAGTGATAGAGGAGACACCAAGGAGAGGTGCTACGCTGGACCTTGTTCTCAGCAACAAGGAAGGGCTGATGGGGAATGTGAAGCTCAGGGGCAGCCTGGGCTGCAGTGACCATGAAATACTGGAGTTCAAGATCCTTAGGGCAGCAAGGAGGGTGCACAGTAAACTCACTACCCTGGACTTCGGAAGTAGAGACATTGGCCCCTTCAAGGATCTTTTTGGTAGAGTACCATGGGATAAAGCCCTGGAGAGAAGAGGGGCTCAAGAAAGCTGGTTAATATTCAAGGATCACCTCCCATATGAGGACAGGCTGAAAGAGTTGGGGTTGTTCAGCCTGGAGAAAAGAAGGCTCCGAGGAGACTTAATAGCAGCCTTCCAGTACCTGAAGGGGGCCTACAGGAGAGATGGGGAAACACTCTTTATCAGGGAGTGTAGTGAGAGGACAAGCGGTAATGGGTATAAGCTGAAAGAGGGTAAATTTAGACTAGACATTAGGAAGAAATTTTTCACTGTGAGGGTGATGAGGCACTGGAACAGGTTGTCCAGAAGAAGCTGTGGCTGCCCCATCCCTGGAGGTGTTCAAGGCCAGACTGGATGAGGCTTTGAGCAACCTGGTCTAGTGTAAGATGTCCCTGCCCATAGCAGGGGGGTTTGAACTAGATGATTTTTAAGGTCCATTGCAACCCTAACCATTCTATGATTCCATGGTATCTGTATCACTGCCACCCACCTTCCCCAGCCACAGTTCTTCCCTTCAGGTGACGAGTAAGCTTCTGCCATGAGGAAGCAACACTCTCTTGTCCACAAACCAATGGGACCTACAGCCTATTAAACTTATTGCCCTCAGTCCTCTTCCTTTTTTGCCCATCTGCCTGGATCTTTTTGAACTCTTTCTCCCAGTCCATACACCCCTCCCTGCAACAGCACTGGTAACCAGGACTGTAATGGCTGGAAGACTACAACTCTGTTATTCATAGGTATGATCACATCTGAATGCCAGTGATGCATGTCTTGCCCTAGCTGTGCAGTTTCTTGGCTAGGACACAGCTGCGGCTGCCTCCTACCTGCTTCTGAGGTATCCGGAAGAAAGTTGCTGACCTTTTAGTTTTGCCACGTAAGACAGCTGCTGTCTATGCTGATGAGGTGGCTCAAGGACATAGTACAACTAATAAGAGATGCTGTAAACTGACTGCACACATTACTCTTGCCTGCTTGCTTTCAAATGACTCCAGCTTCCTCTAAATGCTAGTATATTGTAGGCACCCAAGTTAATTCACTCTCCATATGAAGGTATCTTAACCAGTGGGGAGATGGTGATATAATTCATGCATGCAATGCACTCTTTCTAAATCCTCAGAAAATTAATGGAAACAAATGTCCATAATTTCAATGCATACTTTTATCAATAGCAAATGCTTACCTCGTGACATTTGGCAATTTAAACTTTAAGTACAGAACAGGAATTCCTATAAATTGCTCTGCCAGGTAAAGCAGTTCATAATTCTTTTCAAGGTTCAGTGGGATACATGCAGTAACAGACTGAAAATGGTAGAGAATAAAAAAAACTGTTAATGCATTGTGATAGTTCATGAAGCAACTCTGACTTCTGTATTCATGATATAGCAATTTCATCAAACGTATAGGTGTTCATCCCGAATTTTATGGCTACTCCATTTTATGTCTGCTAGTGTTACTCGTCTTTGGACTGCATATATTTTCAGCTGATTAAACCACTGTTTTCCAGTTAAAAGGCCTGAAACTTCTATCTAGAGAGTTAACCACTTTTGAACAATAGTATTGAAAATAACACGTAATTAGACTAGAAGATGCTCTTCCTATTTTATGAATAAGCAAAATGAAATGTAATGACTGAAAGTGTGGTTCAGATATTATATTTCAGAAAGTATGTGTCAGACCATGTTCCTACAGTTTAAGCCCGATTTTGTTATACTGTGTCAGAGGTGATTTTTTGTTGGCAGTTATCTGAGCTCACCTCACATAACAAGTCTCAGCCTGCCTGAACCTTTCAAGGTATACAGAGAGCCATTCACAAGAAAATCCTTGAACTGGGATTCTCCAGAGTCTCAAATTTTCTGTTACTAAAAAGTGTAAATTTTCAAACTGAGCAAGAACAGCCGATTCTGGCTGCAAGATGTTCTTTAATTGGCAAGTATTACTAAGTGCTTTTTCTTAACCCATGGCAGATGAGAACTATGGAAAACAACCCAGTCTTTTCAACCCAAACAGGCAAAGCATAGAGTAATTCTGAAGGAGTGAAAACTTTTGTGCAGTCTAAGGAAAACCTGGGAACATATAGAAAAATGGAGTATTCCGGCTCTAAGATGAACACGAACTGATAGGAGAAAACTAGGGCTTATTTTGGAAGCAGCAGGGAAAAAAGATGACTGAGTAAGGCAAGCTTCTTTTGACAGAATTCCTGTAGATGAGCATGCCTGAACTGAATGGCATCCAAATCCCTATCGGGTCTGCTTCGTAAGCCAAACCACCACTCAGATTCCCCAGCACTTTCTGAGCAATTTCAGAATCAGTTCTCAAATGGCTTCCTATCTTCCTTAACCTAACTTATGCTGTCACCAAGAAATTATGATCACTCAGTTTTGTGATTTTCTGCATGGAATTTTACATAGTGCAGTCTTACCTCACAATTCTTCATGTCATTAGAGAGCTTGAACCCTTTCTTGCCATCACAATAGCAGCTATAACTTCCTGGAGAGTTTACACAGAGTTGAGCACAAACATTTTCAGCACATTCATCAATATCTAGGAGAAATGGAAGCACACAGAAAGATTTATTCAGATTATTCATGTCACAGACTGAAAACTAACACAATAAATTAGTGGAATGATGGACAAGAGGGGTTCTCTGGCATAACATGAATCTAACAGGTGACTGCTGCTAGGCTAAATTAATGCTAATGGATGTCTCCTACTTGGAATTTACAATCCAGAATTACCTGCTGGGTGTATAAGACCTAGTAATCTGATAGAGGCCTTGTGTGCAAAGCAGGGGAAAATTTGGTCTGATTTGTGAGGCAGTAAGAAGCTGAGTTTTAAGGTGGCTGAATTAGTCAGAGAGACCTCAATAAATGACTGCGATTTATGTCAGAATTGCTATCCTGGGTCAGATCTCTTCCTTTCCCTATAGAAGTCATGAGAACTTTGAGTATTAAGAGGATATATGCCAAGTATGTGGAGAAAGGACATGCTTTATTCACATAAAACCAAAATAATCTCAGGGCAAAATACCTTTTAAAATAACATACAACAATCTCATAAATAACTAAGTTTTGGAGAGCATCTGTTTGTGGAGACCAATCTGATTTCAGCTGCAAATAAGCTAAACAAACTTAGGGAACTTAATTTTTTATTTAGTAGGATATACACAATAAATAATTTAGAAATGACAGGCCATGTAAAAGGCCAATGTAACTGTTACATTTTTAATATAGAAACAAAAAAACTCTCCTGGATAAGAGACTCTAATGAGGGTGATTTTGGGCCTCAGATCCAAGAAGCTGCAATACTTGTTTTGAAACAAATGGCCCTTCTAGCAGGAATAAACAAGTTTGTACTAATGCATGCATTTAAAAATATGTTTTATACTATGCTAGGTTTTTTTTAAGATTTAAACACTTTTTTTTCTTGCTTGGAGGAGGAGAGAGGAAAAGAAAAAAAAAAGAAAAAAGCAAACAAGAAAAACAAAGGAAGACAAACCTCAAAACCTTATTGGAGAAACTGTTACTTTATAGTCAGCATGCATAATCTCCTTCCAAAACAGGATACTATGTTTAACAATTTGTGGATGGTATTCTGATTTCTACCTCTGCAGCAGGTAACAGTCATGGGTAAGTCGTTTTACCACCAAGTCCTAGCAGTTTTTACGTTATTTAAATGGCCAACAATTAATGAATAAGTTGAGGAAACTGTTTAGCTGAAGAGTTCCCTATTACTGAAATGTCTCCTCTTCCTCATCTTTGCTGTAAGTCACCAGTGCAAAGGATCTGTGCTCAGACTTATGCTCCCTCGTACGTGACCTTATCAGAAGAAAAAGCTGTACTGTTCTGTACTGCAGCTAATACAGCCAGAATTAAAGTTCTGCTCAAAATCTAACCACATGCTGTGTCAGCTTTCCTGAAACCTGACATGTGGGTGTGTAAAAATAGTGTCTTCTGCTGATCTTTGCATAATTTTACCTCTTTCCACTCATCTCCCATTCTACCCTCTGGTCTTCAGAAGCTAGATGGCCCTTTATATATAGGCTGGTCTATTTGATAACAACTGTCACGTTCACTCTTTGCATGACTCTTCCAAGTCACTTCTGTGAACTCCAGAATGATTGCTTACCTCTGCTTTGTCAAGCTGAGAACCATCTCCTGCTGTGTAGCAGGCTGATGGAATACAACAGTGAGGTTTTCCTCCTCCTCTTTTTGGGAAGAGTTTCAGTGCCATTTTCATAGAATCATAGAATCATAGAATGGTTTGGGTTGGAAGGGACCTTAAAGATCATCAAGTTCCAACCCCCCTGCCATGGGCAGGGACACCCTCCACTAGACCAGGTTGCTCAAAGCCTCATCCAGCCTGGCCTTGAACACCTCCAGGGATGGGGCAGCCACAGCTTCTCTGGGCAACCTGTTCCAGTGCCTCACCACTCTCAGTGAAAAATTTCTTCCCAATGTCTAGTCTAAATCTACCCTCTTTCAGCTTATACCCATTACCCCTTGTCTTCTCACTACCCTCCCTGACAAAGAGTGCCTCCCCATCTCTCCTGTAGGCCCCCTTCAGGTACTGGAAGGCTGCTATTAAGTCTCCTTGGAGCCTTCTCTTCTCCAGGCTGAACAACCCCAACTCTTTCAGCCTGTCCTCATAGGGGAGGTGCTCCAGCCCTCTGATTAATTTCGTGGCTCTCCTCTGGACTCTCTCCAACAGGTCCATGTCTTTTTTATGTTGGGGTCCCCACATCTGAACACAGTACTCAAGGTGGGGTCTCATAAGAGCAGAGTAGAGGGGGAGAATCACTTCCTTTGACCTGCTGCTAATGCTTCTTTTGATGCAGCCCAGGACACAGCTGGCTTTAAGCTAGCTTAGCAAGTTTAAGAACGATAGCACTGCCTATCAAGTGTCTTCAGCATTTAACTGAAAGGCATAGGATGTAATACAGAAATCTGTAGTATATTCAAGCTGTGCAGAACTAAATATGGCATTAGTGCTCTACAGCCAGCTCCACCACCTCCTTCCTTCCATTTCACCAGAAGAGCTTTCTCTCCTGCAAGGGTGTGAGGGATGGGAAAAGAAACAAGATGGGAAATCTCTGCATTGAGATCATGGTACTTCAATGAACACTGAGCTCAGACCAACTTCTCCATATACAGTTCCAGTGCCTGCCCTGGCAGGGTTCTCTGAGGATACACTGGATCATAAAGACACACATGGAAGACCTCAAGCCTTTGATCAGCAAGTGTTGGCAGCATGTTCCAGGGAAAGGTTTGATACATATTGGAAGACAGCTCCTAAAACACAACTAGAGAACTGATGACTGGCTTTTTTGATTGTTCAAGTTCTAACTGATCTCAGGCACACAGCTGCAGAAAAGGTTACGTAGAAATTTCTTCTGCTTCTCTCTACTCCTTCAAGTGCCTCATCCATTCAAAATGTCGCCCAAGTGAGTCAAACTGATTTTTAATATTGAAATATAGTACTGGATGTTTCTTCAAGTTGATCTGACATTTTGCAAATGTTTTCTATGCTGCATCCTCGTAACTTGAATTAGTTTTAAATAATGAGCATATTAAATTTTGACTGTGTCAGAAATAAGAGTCTCTTCAGAGGTGAATGTTTGCTAGTGTTAAAGAGTTTTATCTTTGCCCAGATTTGAGAAAGCTGTCCTATTAAGAAGTGTTACCCTGCATGTATATATGTATAAATATACGCGCAGACTCCTGAAACTGTAAATCACTAACCCTCAAACCTCTTCTCATCGTTTAATTCCTATTTCACTCATTTTGGCCTCCCTCACCTGTAGTACTATTTAGAGGAGTAAGATATAAGGGTGGGTTGCAACATCCATGTGTGTGTTTTGGAGTCTTATTAAAACCTTCTTCCATATGCTTTGGAGACAATGCTTGCACACGAGTCACATGGCAGGTCAGTTGTTAAGAAATATTTTGCTGATGCATATGTGCAACTGATCGACCCCTCCAGTTCCTCCAGCTACAATAGATTGCCTCTTACTCTTTTATTTGGCATGTGTACTCCTTTCCATTTAGAAATCATTAAACTGTTTATAGACCTGATGGGGGTTGCCTAACCCAGTAGACTGCAAGCTCAGCTTGGTGAAAGGGATTTCTGGTGACTGGCAATCCCATGTCTATCTAAAGCTAAGACCACAAGATCATGTGTTACAATGTGAAGCTGCTTTTTCAGTGTGTGAGGAGAACACTTTCTGTGTCCTTTCCTATCCTGCCTGGATTTTTTTTGGGGGGAATCATTCTAGTTACGATCATTTTGGGATCTGAAAAGGCCAAGAAATCCACCAAGGCCTAAGCACACAGAGAAAAGGAAACAAAACAAAACAAAAACCAACCCTACAGCCTACTTCACTGTGGCGATGTAAAATGAAATAAAAAAATTAACACCTCCCAAGAGTAACTGGAGTAGAGAGACTCTGAGAAGCACCTCTCTTCTCATGCCCTTCCCAGAGGAGCATGACTGTGTAGACACTTTAGGAGGCATTGTCCTCTGTGAAAGATCCTGTACCCCTTCTAGGACTTGAACACCTAGCAGTATCGAAGGAAAACTACAAGCACTGGTTAACCAGTAGCACTAGAGTAAATCTGAGCACTGAATTCTCTGATTCTCTGAAAGCAGCAATTCATTTTGAGCATGTTCCTCAGGCCCAGGGCCTGCAGAGACTTATGAAGTTACTATGAAAGCTGATCACACAGTTTGACAGATGAATTTCTACCATTAAATCAATTACTCAAGAGACCTGCGCTAGTCTTGCAGGGGTGTAAATTTCCATTACCCAAAATGAAACTGCTGCTCAAGGGTAAGGTCTCCCTGCAGAGTGTACTATAGCAGCAGAGGGACAGGCAAGCTTCTTGGATAGGTATGAAGCCTCCTTCCTTGGAGGACATTCTGGAATCCCTGATCAGATCAAATGGCAGGATCTCCCCCAGCAGAGCTAACTGACCTGCTACAGAAATGCTGACATGCCCATGCTGAAGGGGACCAAGTTTTTTTGAAGGTTTGTTGTAATCATTTATACTATAATTATCCTGCTTTTTTTTTTTTTTTTACAAGCTGTAGTGAGCATCTTTGCATGTTTGTTTGAGCTATTTCAAAGGCTTCCCACAGATCTGTCCAAATGTCAGTCCCACATCATAAAACAGTCAGGAGAAGCTATTCGCACAAACCCGTGAATCTGAGCAGCATCCTGGGTTCATACAGCTGCTTCTAAAACAGCTTGCTTTGGATAAGCAAATATGACAAAATCAGCCACAAAGCAGCTGCATACTATGTCCTAGGAGGGAGCTACTCTACATAATGCTAGGGAAATAGTCATTTCCCCAGAGCATGGATGTGGGTAGGCAGGGTTTCATGTGTGTTAAACAATTCATGTGGGAAGGGGAAACCCTGACTCCTTGTCTCAAATTTTCAGACTGTGTGCTAGGGGTGAAATACAGACATACTCTGTGCCTTTTGATTAATTGGTTCAGTAATTTCTTTAAGAGAAGTCCCCCCTTTAGAGAAGGAAAAATGATATGAGGAAAGACAAGCCAAAACTCAGGTCATTCTTTAAAATACAGGTTCAGCTTGGTTTGTCTCCTTGATACTGACTGCAAGACAGTCCCCTCTAGAACAACACTTATTCATTCTCACTGCGCCTTTTTTTGGCAAGGTGTTTGAAATTGCAAAGGTGGCGAGAAGAAAATAATCACATTCTATATCTAAAATTGTATGTCTTCTGTGAAACAAAGACTGGACAGTACACATATCTTCCACTGATAGCGTCTCCCAAAAGGTGGGGATGAAGAACTGAAGCAACATTCTCCTAGGAGTGGGTGAGGAAAAAAACCAAATCCTCTTCTATTCCACTCTAATTGTCTTTGTCATCATATAGTTGTGCATAAATGTATGTAAACCTGATTTTTCTGATAAGCATAATTGAATTTGGCCACCTACATGCACTATGATAATGAAAAGCTAATGCCGCTTAGTATTTCTGTAAGGCTACATTCCTGTCAGTCTGCACAATCCTGTCCTTAGACCGGATTTGGTGACTCATTTAATGTGGTTACAACAAGGTCTGAAAGCTTAGCAGTATAATCCTCCTTCTAGGAGGTAAGATTTTGCTCATTTTAATGTCCTCATCTTGCAACCTTCTGGAATCCGTGTTTCAGAAGAAAAACAATGCTTAAATTCAATTTGATGCAACCCATGTATCTGCAGAAAGTGCTAACAGGAGTGAGAATTAGATTAATTACTGTGAAGTTTTTCTCATTTCAGTGCATGCAGGGACACAAAATTATCAGTAACATTTTAATCACATAGTAACTGCACAAAGACTAGCCATCTGAATATGTAATCATTACCACTGTGTAAAGCTTTGTCACAAGAAAGCGGCATGAAAATACATGGAGCAAAAGATTCACAGCTAGCAAGAAGCTACTTTTATGTCCTTTTGAGCAATAACATAAAGCCAACATTTAAAATAAAAATCAGTCACTGATGTATTTTTCTTAAACTAGCGATGCAGAAAATTTCCTTTCATAGTAAAACTCTTAGAGCTTCTATGTCTCTTCTACAACTGCAATTTAATTTATGATGTGTATACTAAACAGAAACTTTAACAAGTAGAGAGGAATAAAATATGTTCTAGGACAATATGTAAATACCTTCAATACTTGAAAAAGTTATTTTATGATAGCCTGTGTATGAATGGCTTCTTGTTGCTTTATCACCAGCTATCAGTACTTTTCAGCTTTGTTATAATTGTTACAGAACTTTGTCCTAAAGTTCTTTCTTCCAGATTTTAATTTCCAAAAAGAATACTTCTGAGGAAAGATTCTTTTTGGTACAGCTCCTTTTTTCATAGCTTCTTTTCTGGATATTTAGGAATAAAATTTTTTTTTAAATTAAAATTTAAATTAAAAATTTTAAATTTTTACTTTAAATGTGAGGTCTTTATACAAAATCTTTTATACAACTGTCATGCTGTCATTTCCAGCCTAGAATGGAGTTTAATTCACTCTAACGCTGTTATTTTCTAGCATAACTAGATAACCTGAGGAAGGATTAGACACTTGAATGTTATTTTAAATGGAATTCAGTGACCCCAGTGAAAAGCTCTTTCCAATATATGAGATCTAAGGACATATAAAGGACACAGAGACTGAGCCCCTGGCCATGAGGGTTAAATAAGCACCTAAACAGCCTATCAGATGGATAAAGACAAGCTTTTTAGTGTTTTGAGACAACTTGATTAAGCACAGGTTTTGTTTCTGACAATTGTCTCTTTATAAATCTTCCTAACTGTCATGTCCAGTTTGGAATTGCCAAATAAGTACTTTAATTGCTTTTGTTATAACTTGTCTTGAGTTGGGGGTATACATTAAACTGGTATGTATAAACCTTATAACTGTAATGATGCTTAAAAACAAGGTACAAGACACTCTAGTCATGTCTGGATCCTCAACACATTGCTCCAAGTTACCTGAAAGAAACATGACAGCTGTTTAGAGAGCTTGGACAGAAAGTCCTCTCTACAGTGGGACAGGAGAGCTCTGAGAAAGTTATCTGGCATACAGCAGGACACAGGAGTATACCATAAAACCCTCCAGCAGCTGGGAGTAAGTCATTGCCACTGTATACACAACATATAATATAGCCTGACTGAACCTCTGAAAGAACAAACAGTTGATTTATATTGTAATAAACAGTATGAATAACTAGATGAGATGCTGGAGCTTGGTATAGCGGTGGATTAAAAAAAAGAAAAAAAAAAAAAAAAGATAAAAGATAGAGTAAAGGGGGGACCAGGGAGCAAAAGACCTACCTTCACAGTTCTTGGAAGTTGAATTATATGTGTAGCCTTCTGCACATTCACATTCATATTTCCCCAGGGTGTTCTTACAGATGGCTGTCCCACAGATGTTTGGATGTAACACACATTCATTTATATCTAGAAATACAAACAAGTTACTAAAAACAAGTTGCTCTCTCACATAGTATTTTTTCCTAACCCTATTCAAAACTGTGCAAACTGAATGACGTTGGCAAACTGTCTCTTTCTTGCTAGCTTTACCATGCCTTCATAGCAGACTATAGCTATAGCCATGCAGATTTCTAGAAGTCTCTAAAAGGCAATTCTGCATGGCCTCAGCGAAAAACAAGTTCTCGGCCTGCCTGCCTTTCTCATTCTCTCATACGTTCTGTGGATAACAGGAAAAGGGATGCATGTCCAGGAAGGCAAAGAGAGAAACAGTCTGCACATTTCCTATAAGATAAACCAGACTGCACAATAAAATCCCGCCTTAGAAAAAGAAATCCAGAAGGACAAGTGATAATCCTATCAGAGTTTCTTACATGCTACAATTCATGTCACAATCATCTTTTAATTGGCTATGATGACAGGTGTTCAACTTCCTCACTGTCTCTCCATCCCTTAAAACAGTTTAGCGTCTATCTTTTGTGTTGTTTCCAGTTTTTCAATGTCATTTTCAAAATGCAGATGTGAAAACTGGATGCAGTATATAGTATCAATCCTACTAAATGTCTTGTAGACAGAAAAATACCAGATTCCTGGTAGTACTTCAGTTCTCACTTGCATGTACAGGGATCACTCTAGTCCTCTCTGTGGCTTTGTAGTAGTTGTGGAAATGGTACTGTACAGGGAGAACAGATTCTGCCACTGGCTTGCTAGGATGCCCAAAACACTTTTTAAGTCAAAGCTGTCCTGAATTTGGCCTACTTTTCTAGTTACCCTGTGTACTCTAAATTCCTAGGTGTATGATTTTGTAGTTGGATATAATGAAACACTTATAGCCACTTTATCAAATGACCAAACTAGTACTCTAAGTACCTACAAAGGAATATTAGAGTATTTTAATCTTTGATCATTTTTAACTGACTTTTCCAGTTTCTTTCCAGGAATTACAGAGATTCTAACAAACTTATCTTCTTGCCCTTTTTGACAAAACAGCAATCTTCTGTTCTTCTGGAATTTCTTCAGAAATTATTCATTCACAAGAAAAAAAAAATAGACTAAAGAAAGTGACAGCAGGAGATGGCCCTCAAGTCTGGCCTCCTATAGTATTTAAAATTATCCAAAAACTGTTGGTACAGCTCAGGAATAAAATATACGACATTTAAATGGAATTAAGTTGTATTTTTTTTCTAACTATGCAGTAAGAGTTGTTAATTATGTTAATACATAGTCTTTATCTGGAATGGAATAAAGCATGTAGGTCATGGCTAATAATAACAGAAACAAGCATGTACAGAAAAAAATTATGCTGGGTGACTAAAAGACAAATCTTCTTCTCCATGAAGTGCATTTTCAGATTCATTAATAGTTTCTTCTCCAATGAACTTCAAACTCCCAAAAGAACAGCATTACTAATTAGGAGTGATTCAGCTTAAGCCAGTGTTTATCAGACAGGATTTCTATGGTAACAATGTTAGCTGGCTGTACCACTCTAGATTCTTGTTTCAGTATGCTTAAAGGGTATGTGAAACTGGTGGTGACCAGAACAAGCTTTAAAGAACTCTAGTAAAGAAGCAGTATAATAGATAAGTAATATATAGTCTTTCTCTTTTTCCATTCCCCACCCCCCCGAATTAGTTTCAACCCACCTCAGTTCCTTGATCTGGTTCACTATACAGTTGCACAAATGCTTGCAGCGGTGTAAGGCTGCAGGTGGAATGAGTAGCCAGGTTGAAGCAGGACTACATCTTTCAGAGGCAATGCAAGCTTCTGCTGACTCAGAGCACTTAGGGAACTACTGGACTAAATTCCTTCCTCTCTAGTCAATAGGCAATGTACTGTCATGTAATGATGTCCTCCTTAAGTCTCACTTCCTACCTCCACAATCCCGCTTATTTGAATGCATGAAGTAGCCATCTTCACATAAACAACGGTAGCTTCCAGGTAAATTAGAACAGCGTTGGCTACAACCTCCATTTAAGTCTTCACATTCATTTATATCTAGAATAAAATCAAAATAAAAATCTCTGCTCATATGAAGGCATTCATTGACCAAGTGTGTGGCTATACTTAAAGATCTGATACTATTCGATAATAGTATAACTGTGTTCCTGAGAACTAACATTGTAATGAGATTAGAGACTATACCTTCTTCACATCTCTCTCCTTGCCATCCTGGTTTACAGACACATGTATATTTGGCTTGTCCATCTATGCAATCCTTATATCCATCTTTATGGCACGGCAGAGGGCTACACTGGTTTGAAATTTCTGTGGGATGGAAATATTGGAAATACTTGTTATTTGGAGTTATTTGGAGTTATTTTTCCTGCAGGATCAGTTTAGTCTTTCTTCTTCTCTTCCTACAGGTACCTTTCACGTTTCATGAAATAAGAAAGGGCTTGATACAGAACATCAAGTGCCCTACAACCATATTGCTGTTAATTCTCTCAGCAAGAATTTGCAAGCGACTGAGAAAAAACAAAGCCACCGGTACTTTTCTTTGTCAGAAGGAAAACAACTAGAAAACAAATTACTGACTAAGATTAATCCCCTCAAGATGTGACCAAACACAGACTTCATACTATTTTCATTACATTTTAAGGACTTAAATTTCATTTTTTAAAGAACAGTGCCCTGCCTCATCATATTACCACGAATTTCACTAGAAATACCAAAGTTTTAAGAATACCAAGAATTCAAGATTACAGAGATGACTTTCTCTGTTCAAGGAGGGTCACATTTGCAGAGACACTAATATCTCAGGCTGCCTTGGCTGTCCTGTAGGTAGACTGGATATGTCAGTGTCTAATACTTTAACCTTTTACAAATATTAACTTCAATGACAAACAAATTTGGGTTGTAAGGAGCAACTGAAGACCATACATGCTGGCAAGACCGCGGAAACCAAGGATCAAAATACATAGACTGGGGCAGAGAATACAGAATTCACTGCCTCTTTTGCTCTAATTGAAATACATAAAAGTTCTTTTAATTTTTCCCACCATTTTCATTATCTTACATCACCATACCACATAAGGTATCATTCTGCCTGTGCCTTCTGAATATATTGGTAGCTTTATGGATTATTTTCTGCAGGCCTCCAAACATTACAAATATATTGTTTCTACTTTAAAGTTATGTTCTTGTAAAGCTCTGCAGTGTCATTCTGAGGCATGTTTTTTAAAAAAAAAAGTAGTGCCCTGAAAGAACAGACAGCAGAATGAAAAGAAGAAAGGATTTTGTGGTGTTTGGATTCAAAAAAGTGGAATGAAAGCAGTGTTCCTGAAGACTGAAACTTCCAACAATTCTGTACCTAAGGCCTCACTGGATTTCTTAAATGTTTCTCACTTCACTTGAACTGAAGAACTGAGTCCCATAGAATGTTTAGCTTTCTGTGACAAAGAAAAAAATCAGTGTCAGCATATAACCAATTAAATCTACTTCTAATTAAATTCTGCTGCAAGTAAATCCAAAAGCCCAGAGGCCAGCCAAGCTCCAAAACTACAGAGCACCTCTAGAATAGGTGCTGCATGTCATGTAATATTCATATTGCAGACTGAAGGACTCCAGTTGCAGATGAAGACTGAGAGAAGAAATTGTGCAGAAGAAATAAAAGGAATGTGGTTCCTTCACAGCAATTTCCAAATGTAAGTACTAGAACTCCCTATATTTTTTTATCTTTTTTGACTGTTTACTGCTTTTGTAGGCCCAGGAACAAGTGTGGTATAAACTTGGTATGAGGAAAGTATTTTATATGTGATATATGTGGAGTTACCCTCAGAGTGTGCAGGAACAAACTTGATTGTCAATATTTCTGAGCAAAAAAGCAGTGATGGCTTGTGAGAGTCTGAGCTGAGAGAAGATGGATTGGATTGGATTGCTAGTGTGAAACACACATAGCACAAGTAGGTGGAATGAGTTGAATTAAGGATATAAAGGGCAAGAAAACTGAGGAAATCAATGAATGAAAAAGGAGAACTGGTGAAATACACCAGATGAAGAAGACAAGACAGGATCGATAGGACTAGATGGACACAGAAGTTATGTCCGCAGATGAATGATTAAGACGCCACTGCAGGAAAAGTAACATAGTATCCATTTGTTCCAGAAGCCGGCCTGGTGTTCCTCTTCTCCCAATTCAGGGTACCTTCTGACATACTACCCAGCAATGTTTTTTGATAAACATTTGTAACAACAACTAAATATCAGAAGATATACTCAGCCTGGAGTACAAGGGGGATGTGGCAAGAAATGTATTGTGGTACCCATATCCTCTGCCACTCAGAGGCTCTGGCATCCATGAGATGTTTCATGGTAAGCTGGATAGGTGTAAATGCAGGGATTTTTTAGGTGCTTATTTTCAAAAGCAATTAAGTATGCAGACTTATGGGATACAGATGTTTAGAGACTTAAGGATGCAGCCTAGATACCTGCTTTGATTAGAAAAGTATTAAAAGGGGTCTTCTATTCCTGTGAAAATTTTCCTTTTCCTTCCTGGAAAGGGATTAAAAAGTCAATATATTAATAAATTTTTGTAATTGTTTATCCAGAAATGCATGTCCTTAAATGTGTGTTCATTTGTGTGCTGAAATAACTCATTTGAACAGATATGAAAACAATTACATTACTTTTCAATTCTGTTTGTATTGTTATTTTTATTCCTTGTTTTTTTCAGCTTGGGATTCCAACTAGTTACTGTACTATTATAAACTCATTCTTACAGCTATTTAATTATTTCTCAGTAGGAAAATTAGATTTTTCATTTTGACAATATCAAAACAATTTGGATCGGTAAGTTCAGAAAGACAAAACTTTTAAAATTAAAAAAAAATCTGTTGATACCAGTATCACAAAATATTTGTCTCAATGTATACACATTTTTAAAAAAGGTTACATAGTTTTAGTGGATATTTTAAATTCCACTTTCTGAGCAGTAGATCATTTGCAGAAATTTGCATAAATTTCACTGAACATTTAAGCCTCAAACACTTGAAAATTGAATGAATACTCTCTGTACTTCTCTTTTATCCTGGTGACTGACCAAGGTAACAGTTTATTTAGTTCTATTTTATAATGTGAACCCAAATAGAGAAATACAATGACTGTCAAGTAAACTAGTTGTTTTCGCTGGGTAATACAGAAACACTGCACATTCACACAACTCTGCTAATTCCTTTCCTCACAGGACCTCTAATGAGAGTGAGAAAGAGTGATATGAATGGGAGTACATTTTAGTTTGTGACAGCAGTCATGCTGGCCAAGCGATCTGGAAAATATGTTCATCCGTGACCATATGCAGTGTAATTATTACGGATTTTTTCTGCCTTCCGCTGCTTTCAAGGACAAAAAAACAGTGTCAGATGGTTATGGATAAGTATCTCTATTCAAACTAACTGAAAGCTTCTTTGATATAACTAGGCTGTAAAGGTTTAAGAGGTTTAGAGAGATGTTTCAACTGTGACAAGTAGGGGAACATGGTACAGATTGCTTCCAGTGAATTTACTAGAAAAAACACAATTCATACTCGACTTATAAATGCAGAGGTGTAAAAAATAAAATATTTGAGCAACATCACAAGTTACATGTTTTGTGACCATCTTGTGTCTGGTGTCAATGACTATGTCTTTCAGCTAATATTTGAGTTTTTCAGCTGGTAATGTTACTCACTTCATGAAGGGCTCCAGTGTAACTATGGGCCAAAGAGTGAGAAAAAGGGGAATTAACCAGATGGCCTCTTCCCTTAAGTGACAGAACAGGACTTGCCAGACGCAGAGTCAGGCATAACTGTTAAACACATGGTAGAGTACAGAGGACATAGTAGGGAACATTGGTGGACTGGTGCAGGACACAACTCTGTTTCCAGAAGAATTCTGCCTTCCATTTTGCAGTTAATTACATTTCTTTTACAGCATGCTTTATAAAGTTAAAAACAGTCATGCTACTTGCTCTGAAAATGATCCGTTACACCTAATTTTTCTTGGTCAATTTTTGTTCCAGATTATTGAGTTTGCCCGAGTTAAATGGCAATTTGTCTCTTTTTCTGTCTATGTGAACTGCTCCCAAGCCATGTACATGTGTGTTCTTAGATCTGAGAGCACTAGGTAAAGTATCTAACAGCAGCACTTACCATTGACACAAGCCCTCAGGTCAGCTGGAGAATCTGGAGTAACTGCAGTAACCCTGAAAACACCTGCTCGATGAGAGGCAAGGCAGCCTGCAAATGCAAAGCCACACAATCTGCTTATGATACACTTATTTAGACTTAAATTACAATAGCTTATGCATGGCATCTTCAAAGAGCCTGTTCTCACAGCTGGGATCAGAAAACTTGTCTGGACTAAGGACATCTGACATCTGACCACAGACCAACCTTCTGAGTGCCTCTGCTAGGATCTAAGCACACAGAACTGCCTAGGAGCGAGTACACATTATAAGTAGCATGGAAATCACTCAAGCGTTGTGGGCAGAATAACTAAACTAGTATTATCCAAATAAGAAGACCAGCGAATTACATACTGCAGTTGTTCAGGTTTTTTGCACTTACTTAAATATTTGGGATAAAAATACTCCTGCAGAAAGAAAAGAAAAATAAAGAGTAAGAAAAATTTAAGGTAGATAAAATTACAGCAGAATATATCACTGAATACATTCTAAAATATATTGGTATTATAACTACAAAAGAAGCAAAAAAGAAAAAGTACTTTGACTTATAGAACATAGACCAAGTTTTCTATATCACTGTTGTTTAGGCTAAAACACAACAGTGGACAGTTTCAAAGCAAAGGCAATGAAAATGAATTGGGTGTCAAAATCACTGAAAATTGTCTCTTTAAATGGAAGGATCTTGCCCAGTGGTGTTATTGTACGTAGAGCAGCCTCTTTTATTTCCCTTTTTCACCCTAAAATAAACAAAAAACCCTGGAATAGGCTGAACATCTCAGATGAAATTCATTCCAAATAAAGTGAAAAGTGTTACTAAAACAGAAATTGTTAAAAACAACTAATTATTGATTACTGAAACTATTTAATCTTAACAATCAGTATATCCACATACATGCAATGTTATCAAAGACAGAGCATGCAATTGGCATGGTTTACAAAACAATAATTCATTTTAACCACATAAATTTTGTAATAACCCTTTTATAGTACAAAACTGAATAAAATATGCCTAATACTAAATAATGTGCAGTGGGAATGAACTGAGGAACAGAGTTCTCCCCAGTAGGAAAAAAGCTTGCAGTGATATGTCCCATCCCTTCATTAAAAGTGCTGCACTGCCATGCATCCTCTGTGTAAAATTTTAATTGAAGCCAACAAGAGTTTCCCCCCATGGAATGCTTGCAGACAACTGTAGTCTAAAACTGGTGATCCATACTGGAAATTAAAATAATATCTACTCAACTATTCTCTTTGCTTACACAGTCTTCATTATTAATTGTGCAGGTTCTATACACAGAAGAATTTCAAACCAGTTCTTGGTCTGCATGGTGGTTTGATTTTTTTTTTTTCAGCTTTGCAGTGTGAATTTTACGTACTTCTAGCTTTCCGTCTGCAAAAACCTACCATCTATCTCATAGATATTCATGAGATACTTACAGTTTCAGGATTATTTTCAAAGATTTCCCTGGCTTCTTCTTTATTGCATAATTCTTCAATGCATTCTCTTTCTAAATTTCCTTTCTTACTTTCTTCCATAAAAGAATTTGCTCGACGTTTCCTCACCAGGAACTGAGAGGCATACTGCTGGGATAAAACTTTGTAGAAACAAAGGAACTCTGTTGTTATTTCTTTATTTATAACAGCTGAAAAACACTTTATGCACAGAATGACTATGAGGATCTAAGATAAAAATTTGAATTAAATGCTTAGTCAGGAGTCGCTGTTTGCTATCACTTTGGAAAATGTGGGCAAGAAACCCTAGGATTCTGTCTGCTGTATGTTGGGTAGCTCTTTCTGACCAAAAATCCCTAAATCACCCCAAAAAAGTTTGTGCAATGCTATGCCTGGATCTTAATTTAAATGTCATATTCAGGACAAGATTTTTTTTTTTTTTCTAGCTATGGATATTCTAAAGTGAGATATGTGACCAATAAGTGGAAAAAAGCTGTGAAGCCTTTTATATTACCTGTTTACATGATCTAAAAGTAAATATTCTGATCCAATTTAACTTACATGACACCAAAACTGTGTCTTATAAAATCAGGTTACCTACTACATGTAATTAACATAACTGTTATTTTATTTTTCAGAACTCTAAAGAACAAGACAAAGTAAAACATGAGAATTATATCCTGAGAAATACCAATACAGACAACCTATAAATACATTTACTTTTTACCAAGATAAAACTCAATCCTAGCTAACTTTTATATTTCAGATCCGTTATGTGTCATTACTTAATTTTCACGTTTCTTGTTATTGTTTTTATTGACTTTTACAGTGGTGAGCAAATAAGTGAGTTGAGAAATGATATTAAAAATTAAAGACGTCTGTTTGTTTCAATGTTCTTTGTACAGCACGCAGCACCACAGGAACCGAAACTAGATAGCCTTGTTGGTTTAATTTTTGGCCATACCTTGTGACTAAGAGAAAAATGGATGAGCATAACTGGAAAAAGATCAGCTCACAGGGTTAAAGAGCATGCCTGACATATGTTAACTGGAGAGCACCATGCTTCTACACCTGCCCTTCTCTTTTTGGCCTTTGCACAACTTAACCTCTCAGGCTAGCACAACGGTGTGAGGGCCATGACACCTGCAGTGCAAACCAGATATGGTGAACATACATATTCATCAGTAGTCTACGAAGAAGATCAATTCAAGCAGACACAGTCAATTTGGTACTGTTTATGAGCATGTAATATCTCAAACCCAGAGTGCCTTTATGAGACATGCCAGCAATCAAGTGTCAGAGAACAGCCTCACAGCGCCTGTGCACTATCAGGAAAGAAAAAAACTAAAAGGCTTATTAGAAAGAGCAGCTAATCTTTCTGGTAAGGCAACAGGTAAGATTTCCTGAGCATGAGGTGAATGTACTGCAGAATACCTCTGAAGTTTTGAAGCACACCTTCATCTCAGAGAGCAACCCCCTGTTGCTTAGAAATGCAAAGAGAAGTTAGCTTGTGCCCTTCCCCACTACTAAGTATACGAGCAGGCGACAGTCTAGTATTCGAGGATTCCTTTCTTCTTATTTACATGTTGATCTACATGGTGGTCTTACCGGAGAATGGAAATAACTCTGTAAGGTGAAGACTGAACCTCAAGAAAACTGCGCAGAGAAAGAAAAGTCTTATCTTACTTTCTGGGACCCCACTTCCAGAAATTCTTGGCACAAAATAAATTATTCAAGCCTGCTTTTCTCCTCTACTTTTTTCCACTTTTGCAAACCTTAAGGTACGCCGTAAGTACACCTCAAGGGCTGTTAACAATGTATTTCAAGAGCTGGATTTGGATTCTCTGGTTGTTATGTCTCCTTCATGAAGCAGTTAGGAGGAGCAATGAATTGGAAACTGCTGCAACTGTGGATCTCCTAGACCTTCTCTGTCAATCCATGAGCCAAAAAACCAAAACCACTAACACTGTCTGCTGGGAGACTTGCTTTTGCAAGGCAAGACGACAGGATAAGAAGTGCCTCAGGAGAGCTCTTTTGAGCCCTAACTGCACTGGAAAGCAGAAAAACATTTTGAGAATTTATTTATCACCAACTGCTGCTCGCAGTGTCATCTTAATTAATTTGGGTAAATGGCTGTATTTGTCATTACATAAAAGCAGGCTAATAAGAAGGATACAGAAAGTCTGGAGTGACAGTGCATTGCACCCGATGATTTTGTTTACACTGGAGGTTACTACCAGCGTGATCATGCTGACATAGCTTTGGGGCAGAGGATCTGTGGTGTAGATGAGGCCTAACTCACAGCTGACTAAACAATCTTGTTTTAACTTTTAGCTACATCACTCTCATTTCCACACAGTCTTTCAGTAAACAAAGTACAAGAAAATTCTAAGAGTATGTAGCATTTTTGAGGATGTTACACCAAACGTAACACTGCCTACCCCGTGCTTTCAATATAGAGTGAGGTAATGGAAACAGGTCTATTCCCCTACATCACAGCAGTTCAGCCTTCTCCTAAGCTTATTTTCTATTATTTTGAGTTTAAATAAAACATGTAACTCAATGCAAATTCCATATTTTTATTGCAAATATTTCAATTCACATGCACAGAACTTGTAGTGCATTTATTCAAACGGTTTTTCCTTACAAAGATTATGATAGTACCTTTATTAAAAAAAAAATCCTCACTGCTGCTGCTGCCAGTTTCATTACAGGAAACCAGCCCACATCTGACCCTGCCAAACCAATCGTTAACCCTTAGTGAACTGTTTCATCTGATTATCACTGAAGTCCTGTGGAAATCTACAGCCTTATGATTTCAGTATGTGTAGTGTTTACTTATCAAGCACCTGTTTAAAAGTAATGATACAGAAAAATCATGGGGGTCGAGAATGAGATTCAGTGGTTCCTTACAGCTGTTTTGCAAGTGCAAACTATAAACCTGTCTTAAGTGGGCTAGCTAAGCACAGTTTAGTGCTCTCTCCCAGAAACTCTTAAGACCCAATAAACTGAACAAAGGAAATGTGATGCCACTGTATAAAGTGGCGTTATCTGATTTGTACAGCTGTTATATTGGAATCGTCTCCAGAATTCCAGCAACTAGAGTCTCCCAAAATGCTCATCAGTGACATAAGCTTTATGCAGACAACAAAATAAAAGCCAACCAACTGCTAATGTTTGCCTATTCCTTCTCCATATTATCCAAAACTTGTCCCTCACTGGATGTTGGACTAAACGCAGCTGCACTAAGACTTTAAGAGAGGCGACTTTCCATTATGATTATTGACTGGTACCATCTGCATTATTAAGATTTTTCTGCTTTATGTTTTTTTCCCCATCCCAGAAATCTCTGGCATTATTCAGAACCAGGGATAGGCAACCAGACTGCGTGGACCACAGAAATTTTGCATGAATAGGACAACTTCTGATTTCTCACTATTCATAAAAGAGAAAACTGACAAGGTATGCAGTGAGGGGAAAAAAATGGAACAGAAAATGTGATGAAAACAGGAGAAAAGAACATGATGAAAGATTAGAAATTTTATTCTTTTGTATCTGTTAAAAAATAAGTTATAAAATGAACTATCACCTTTCGGTACTGTTCCCTTCATAGGCAGAATTCCTAGCATTCAAACAGAAGTCTGAATAGTAAACATTAGGTTTTTCTTCTGCCTGTTTAATCATTAGTAAAACACGTCAGAAACAGGCTTACTTCGAGCTTCAATTCTGCTTGTTCCAGATACATAGTCTTCCCTTAGTACTAAGCTCAAAGACTTTCCTGACAAAGACATAAGCTCTGATTTTTTTTTTTTTATTTATATGTGTAAGCAAGTAGTTCTTACCTATAACATACCTATATATGCTTGAATTTATCAAGAGAGTCAGAGCTGCTGCCTGGACTTCACAATAACGCCACTCTCCTGAGACCATGATCTATCGAGTATTTTTCTTCTAAGCGAATCAAGCACTATTTGAAGGCACCCTTTCCCCTGAGCTGCAAAGCTGCGTTTCGGCCGCGAACAGCTTCGGAGCCGTGACCAGTCCTAAGTTACAGCTCAGCTGCCCCAACAGTAACGCCTGGGGTCCAGA